AGATATGATTCATACAAATTGTATTACAACAAATATGAAGGAGATTTGTTAGTAAACTGTGTAGATGAGACTGAAGTAGATCTCATGATTAATCAGTATCATGAATTAGAGGAAAAGATTCTTTCTTGTAAAAGTCAGGCTTTGAATAAATTAAAATGTGTAAACCAGGCAGTTAATCAGTCTGCTCCAACAAATAAGATGTCTTTGCCAAAACTCTCAGAATTATGTTTACCTGTATTAAATCCTGGAAAAAATTTGGGGAAGGAATTTTGGTCAATTTTTAACCAGCTGTGCATGACAGGGTGACCTAGCCTGTTTAAACTAAATTATTTTACCTCAAAGGACAGGTAAGAAGAGATGCTCACATACTCATACAAGCCTTTCCCAATGTAGATGACTTTCCCAAGGAAGCAGTTGACTTGTTGAAGGTCACTTATAGAAATACAGAACAAAGTGGGTTTTGGATCTAGTGAATACATTGTTAATTTAAAATCTCCAGATCAAAACTTTCAAAGGTTTACAACATTTTAGAGTTAAACTGGAGAGCACTCTTAAAACTTTAAGTAATAAATATAATCTGAAGGTATCAGACTGGTTATTGAGTGCCATGGTACAGAATAAATTAAACTGTAAAACGCTTGAATGGTTCTCAAACAAATATCACAAAGGTTACTTTGGTCTGGAGGAAATAAGACTAGGTATACAAGAATTAATTGTTCAGTTGCAGACCAGCCAACCAACTCATTTTAAAGATGCAACACATAATAACTCTGAGGTATCTCTCAAGTTTCACAAAGGGAAAAATTATCCAAATGGTAATAATCAAAATTCATTTCCAAATATAGTTGCATAGGTGCATATCAAGTAGCAAGAATCAGAAATAATGATTCTCCACATGGTAAGAAGAATAAATACCCTCTTAAGAGTAGCCCAGTTAATAAGAAACCAGTCAGAGAAAAGAGAGATTGTCTTTTCTGTAAGGGTACTCATTTTCTAAGAATTGCAATGCATACAATTCATGGAATAATAAAGTTGAGAGACTGGAGGAACATGACAGATGTATCAGGTGTTTAGGTAATCATAATGTAAAGGGTTGTTATGCCAAATTAAACAACTGTTATCAATGTCACAAAGGAAGACACCATATAGTCATGTGTAAGGGTCTAAATGATAATGTTGATAATAATAATGTTGACAATCCTGACACAACAGTAGCTAATGTAAAAATTGCTGCTAATGTTAATAATAATGGTTTTCCTGAAGTAGCCTTACCTGTGTTACAGGTAAAAATTGATGATGAAAGGCATAAATAAAAAAATGTAAATGCATTACTGGACCAGGGATCCCAGTGTACTTTCATGAAACGTAAATGTCTTGATGGTATGAAAGTACAGATGGGAGATCCCACAACTTTAAAATTATCTGGTTTTCTCTCGGATAAAAAGGGGTCAATTGTATGACACTGTTTATGTAACTGTCAGGTTGGGCAATGAGAAAAACGTGTTAATGCAGTAATTGTAGATGACTTCCAGAGAAAATATCTACAGTAGGGCTTAGTAAAAACTACAGAAAGACTTTTTACATAATGTAAATTTAGCACCTTCTGGGTAAGTGATGTTCTGTAGGCCCAATAAATAAATTTTTATAGGTAGTGACTATTATGCCTCCTTTGTAAAGGGTTTTGGTAAAGAAATGTGGTGTCACCCTTTTGAAGACTGCAGGAGGCCATGTAATGTATGGTAGGACTCCTCGTAATAATAATTCATGACTAGAGGAAACTACAAATACCATGAAATCGTGCCCCAGTATAATTCTTCCATAGAGGATGGTGTTGAGCCAGTGCATAAATTGTGGGAATTAGTCATCATTGGAATAAATGTAAATGAAGAAAGTCCAGAAGATTCTTTTACTCAGGAGCAATACTTGAGAGATGTAAAATTTGAATCTGGACAATACTGGGTACGACTTCCGTGGAGACTGAACCATCCAGAATTGCCCACTAATTACAGAATGGCATATGGACAATTAAAGGCTCAGCTCCACGATCTGAGTAAAACACCAGAATTGTTAACTGCCTATAATGAATTAAAATTTCTGAGCAATTAATTAATAATTTATAGAAGAGGTACCTCCGAGGCAAGCCAAAATTTATAGTCACTATTTGCCACATCACGGAGTGAAGAAGGATTCTAAGACCACTGCTCTGAGAATTGTGTTTAATTGTAGTGCCAGGAGTAACAAAACTGTACCTAGTTTAAATGACTGATGACAAGTCCGTCGTTGACGGAAAAATTAGGAGATATCTTATTAAATTTCAGGATGAAGAATTATGTCTTTACGGCTGATATAAGTAAAGCTTTCCTAAGAGTGGGTTTACAAGAGGCTGACTGGTATTGTACCCGCTTCTTATGGCCTGAGAATCCTAGTGACCCACTTAACCCTCTGAAAACCTTTCGCTTTAGGAGCATATTATTTGGAGCTACATCCAGTCCGTTTCTACTTCAAGCGACGATAAAAGCACACCTTAAACGTATGGGAAGTCCATTGCGTAAAGTAATGAGCAAACAATTTTATGTGGACAATTTCCTGGGTGTGACGTCAACTGAAGAGGAACTGTTAATGACTTATGGAGAGGCTAATAAAATAATGCAAAGTGCAAATATGCCTCTGATCGAATGCAATAGTAATTCGTCCAAATTAAAGGACAAAATAAGTAAAGATTACCCTGGAGATGAAGTGCCAAAATGTAGTAATGTATTAGGATTAACTTGGGATACTGAGAGAGATTTGTTAATGTTAAAACCTAATAATTACAGTATGCCCAATAAATTACTAAGAGGGGTTTTGCTTGCTGAAGTTTCCAAATGTTTTGATCTACTAGGTTTAGTGTCACCCCTTACTATTTGAGGGAAATTAATTTAAAACAGGAAGCATGGAAACTTAAATGTGCTTGGGATGGGAAAATTTTACCTGAGGAATTCATTAACAGGTGGGATGAATTAATTGGTGATTATGAAAAAATTCCAATGTTGGAGTTCCCATGCCAGGTGGCCAATCCAAATGGGAAAAATGTACTCCACATTTTTTGTGATGCTTCAAAAATTGGCATATGGAGCAGTTGCTTACCTTCAGTGTAATAGTGTTATCTCTCTTGTTATGTCTAAGGCTAAAGTGTCTCCAATTAAATCACGTACTTTACCTCAGTTGGAATTAACAGCCATTTATGTAGGTGTCAAATTAGATAATTATATAAGAAATAAGTTGCAGGACATAAATAATAGCGACACTGTAATTTGGTATGATAATGAGGTATCCTTACAATGGATTCGTAATGGAAACAGTAAAATTGTGTACGTGCAAAACAGAGTCGCTGAAATTAATCAGATGCAAGAGAAGTATAATAGTTTGGGTCAGCATAAGTTTACATTTAATCATATACCTGGTGAGGAGAATCCAGCTGATTTCTTGTCTCGAGGTTTACCTTATGTTAAATTTGTAAATGCTGTATCATGGTTTAAAGGACCGAGCTGGTTTGTAAATAAAGCTAATTGGCCTGTACAAAAAGCATATATTGCTCCTGTTGAAATTACTGTGACCACCGCTCCAATAGTTTGTCCTCCCTTAGCCATTGATATAAATAGGTATTCTTCTTTACCCAAACTAATCAAGTAAACTAGTGGGGTTAAATTTCTAAACAAAATGAATATTTCATTTAAGTTTTCACATCCTCTTGAATATTGGATAAAGAGGGTACAATAAGAAATCTATGGAAATGAGATTAAATTGATGATGGAAAGAAAAATTGTGAAAGGTTCCATAATAGAGAAATTGGGACTGTATTTAGAGAATAATGTAATTAGGTGCAGAGGTAGGTTACAAAATGCTGAATTGGGTGATTATGCTAAACACCCTATCTTACTGCCCAAAACTAATCTCTCTAACAAATTTAATTGTTCTAAATGCCCATAAAAATGTAATGCATGGTGGGGTACAAGATACCTTAAATTGTATTAGGGAAACTTTCTGGATTCCACAAGGATGGCAAAGTGTAAAAAGGGTGATTAAATCTTGTGTAATATGTTGCCGTGTTGATGCCAGATCCTATATGTACCCAGGTCCTGCACCATTGCCAAATGAGCAATTTCAGTCATTTAGCAACGAACTCCGCCCAACCGCAGTGTGGAAAATACTGTATATATTTTCCAGAAATACAGTAGTTATATGTAAATAGATGGCCATACTGTATTTAATAAAAATTTGTCATAAAAAATGGGAAGCCTTTCACCTGCGCAGAAGAGACTCGCCATTGTTGTTTGAATTGGACACAAACGTTAGTGAATAAGAGGAAGAATTTTCGTACTCCAGAGGTTAAAATTGGGCTGACACCTCTCAAATAGGAGCCAAAATTGTTGGATGTGTATTCCTGCATAAATTGAGATATCAGGCGACTGGACAAGACAGCTCCAGGAACCTCAGATAAGCTTGTTTATGTTTGTAACTCTGGCCAGTGTTATTTTCATGGATAGACAGTGAGGCTTTCTGAGTATGACACACAGTAATCTCCAGACTAGTTGGTGAGTGATATTAAGATATATTCTCCTTCTGTTATGTAAATGTGTATATATATAATCCTTTATTAATTTAATATACAGTCCACAAATTTATATATTTACCAGAATTCTTGGTGATGTATATTTCATTTGTAATTAATAGGTCTAGAGCAACTTGTGGATATGACAGTTGTAGGTATCGAAAGGGGACATTTTTGCGACCTAGGTGTCCCAAATTCCTACTTGTCTATGTAACTGATAAATAATAATTGTCTTTGTTATCATTTATTGTTATGTTCATAATGAGTTACATTCAAATAAATGTAATTTTCCCCCAATAATTATTGAGATAATAGTCATACAATTACAAAAGCCAATTTTACTTCCTTAGGCTTTATAGCTCATCATATAAGTGCACATGTAAGTGGACGGGCTAATAAACAGTTTTACATATCTTGTTGAATACTCACAGTTAATTAATTGACAATGTTGGTGCATTCGAGGAAGTTCTTGCCACTATTTGCAAGGGTCTACTGTAACGTTCATATCTCTCGGTTTAAAAGGTATACGCAGTCTCAAGAAAACTGGAGACGCTATTTTTCTTTTAGCCATAAAAATGTGCTTCAGACTATTAACAGAAATCTTTTACTTTTGCCACATACAGAATTTTTCTCGTCGGATTTGTTGAGACTTGCCTGAAATGTCTTGGAAAAAAAAAAAAGAAAAAAAAAGGGCTGTAGCGAAAAAAGAAATCCTCTATTATGTAGGATATTAATCTGCTATTTTCCGTTTATGGAGTAACCAAATTTCTGCCAGCACTTGTGTCTGATATAACTTTACTCTCAAGTGATCGGTGTGATTTTAACCAAAGGAATGAGAGGAATGCCAACGGCATCGATCTGGAATGGTAAACGGATGTTTCCTCGTAAATAATGTTATGAAATTTATGGGCTTCTCCAGTCTGTCCACATCTGTGCAAGAGGTTCTAGATCTGGGACAGAAAATGAGAGTAGTTTTATTTTACATATATGTACACACGTTATGCTTATTTTGCAAACCAATTTCTTATTCAAATATCTGACAACAGTAAGTCTCAGTGTGTAACATCTGTGAAAGCGTCATCCTAATTCTTCGGAATATAAAAGAAGCTTCAGATGTTTTCTATCTTTACTAATAATGACTTATAGAACCAAAGATACAATAGTATAAGGCACTAGAAATCACCCAAGGAGATTGCACATTGCACAGGGACTTAAAGCAGAAGAGAGTTATTAGTGAAACTTCGTTGGGATGATGTAGGGGCAGCTACATAGCATAGCAATGCTTACCCAAAATTCGCTTGTTCAGCTCTCATAAGTTGTGCTCATGATGCTATTTGTTTCTTGTGGTTGAAGTGCCAAACTTTTCACTATCCCTGCTGCCTTCTGATGCCATCCCACACTGTACTATTCTCCTTGAGTGCTTACACTCACTTATATAATAATTAATAATTCTTCCAGGGTGTACCATGCAACATTCACCCCAACTGTTGTTTAGTAATGGATCCCATGACATAAATATTATCTCAGCATAATAATATGTGGGGGTCACACAAAGCCTACCAAGATTTTCCTTAAAAGTACTGTACAAAAATATATCTGCTATAATATCACCAACAAACAATGGCTTGACACAACTACTCAAATCCTTAAAAACCTTCTCAAGAATACCCGTATTCAAGTAAGTTTACCGCTGGCAGTGCCCTTCATTGTGGAACTCTGCAACCTGTGCTTATTCTCAGTAGCTCTTCATATCTTGCATTACCCTGTCAGCTCTCCAGAGCTCTGGTTAAACTTCCGTCGCTGTGCACCTCTAGCCCGTCCTTAGGGTTTCCACATTCGTCATTACCTCTCTCCCGGCTACAAATTGAGGGTTTCCGAATCTCGTCTACCTCACTTCCTTCAGTGTGTGACAACTATGGGTCAGTTTCGTCAAATTTATTATTCCTACTACACACTTTGTCCCCAGGTGCTAATCTAAGATTCATTCTGTGGTTAACTTTGACCTCTCATTCTCCTTCTGGTGAAATCCGGTACACACTTCCGTTACATTTATTTTATGGGTGACAAGCCAATCGTCCAGTATTTTACCCCTCTCACTGCGTCTCCACCAAATGGGAGAGCATTAAGGTAATCCTGGGGTATATCGAGAAGCTTCATACTTTTCTATGTTTACTAATATTCAGTCGCATATAGTACCGAAAGATGTAATGGTTTAAGGCACTACCAAAGGAGACCGTACGTAGCACTGGGACCTAAAGCAGAAAAGTTACTATTGAAACAGTTGTTGGGATGATGTAGGGGTACGTATATAACATAATACTAATGAATAAAGCACATGTACAACACATGGGTTTCGTCTGCAATGCAAACTTCTTCCGTTAAAAACAGGTGAATTGACAGCAGAATAAGAATGAGGGGCCGAAGAATGATCACCTCAGTATTTCTTTTTTCTACAGTCTCAAGTGTTATTTTCGCTTGTTATCGACTGTAGATTACTACAAAGTAGGACAACGTTTCGGTGTTAAAGACAACCAAATGTTGCTCGTGTGTCTTATTCATCAACTTGTAGGTATTGTATCAATAATAGGAAACATAGAACTAATAACATCATTTACACAAAACTTGCTGGTTTACCCCGTCTCATAATTTGCTGCCATATTGTTTGCTGATATTTTAACATTAGGCCGAGGAGTCAATGGCTCCCATTAACTTTTCCGTTCCTCGGCTGCTGTATGACACCGTCTCAGCTTTGTTCTTCTCTTTCACTGCTTCAATCAATTATGTAATAACTAATGCATCTTGCGGAGTACACATGCTAAATTTAGACTGAGCTCTCCTTTTGGCAGGGAATAAGTGGAAGCGCAGCTTCTGGGTCTCCTTCATGAGGGTCTCGCCTTAGTGAGTGTCGTCGCCCCATAGACGCAGAGGAAGGAATCCAAGGAGAGTGAGTTGTCTGCGGGACCTCACTCTGTGTGGGGGTGGTCCTGTGGAGAGCCTGCGGGAGTCCACTTTGTATGGGAGTGTTGGTAATCACTACAGGCTGGGAGTAAGATTTATGTGCTAAAGGTGAGTAGTGAGTTTTGTTGTCGAGAGTAGCGTAGATGACCCCATGCGGATCAGTGAGTTGCGAGCTGGATGTAGTTTTCTGTGGATTGTGTTGTCGTGGGATGAGTGTAGTTCTCTGTAGATCATGGTGCTGGGGGTTGATGGGACCTCTGTGCAGCTCAGGATGTGGAGGGCTGGAGTTTGTGCCTCCCAGCACTAGCTCTGCATACTGAACATCGCCGGCAGAACATGGCTGTTGGGAATTCGAGTATTATTAGTTTTACCAAACAAGGCGAAATATCTTATAAATGCTGCCTGATATACAGAAGAGTAGCCTCTGCACTCCTTCAAATTCATCCTATCCTCTCATTTTCTATCCATGTTTTTTCCATCATTACAAGATATTTGTACTGTAAAAACGTTTCGTATACTTAACATTTTTTTTTCAATTAACACTGTTTAATTCAGAATTTTAAGAAGTATTAATTGTTTTACCAAATAAGAAGAAATATCTTAAAAAATTGCTTTATGTAAGGAAGATTATTCACTTCCACGCCTTCAAATTAATTTTAACCTCTCCATTTATCTATATATGTTCTTCTATCAATATATAATTACACTGTAAAAACATTTCACATACTAAATGTTTCTTCCTTATCCAGTTTCTCTCATAATTCTTCCCAGAATTTCCCTTTCCTCTCAACCCTACTCTCCTATAACTACAAACTACTGCTGCACACTCTAGCACTGCATTCTTAGATTCGTAACATGCCTCTTCACCTAACTCTTCATCATCCTTTCTATCCAATCTTTCTTCCAACATTGGCTCAAACCTGTCAGTTAGCATCCCTTACTTTATTTTTTCCATTTCTCGCTTACACACTGACATCATGTATATCAACCTCCTCTCACGTAGCTCCCACTAAAAATGACCTGCCATAACACTCTGTACTTTCAAAACATGCACATCAATATACTGCATATTTCATCGTAGCTCATTACATATTTATCCTCTTCCTAATATATATATATATATATATATATATATATATATATATATATATTATATATATATATATATATATATTATATATATATATATATATATATTATATATATATATATATATATATATATATGTCTACTTTCACACTTCCTTCTCAACACACTTTAATCAGAGGTCTCCCAATGTCATTTACATTCACTTGTCACTCCCAGCATTGTTGCTATTGTGCACCCTGAACACAGGGTTAATATCGCAATAATACATTCTACAATGATTATTCTCAAACTTGATTAAAAATTCTCAACACATCCATGTATATGGAGAATCACAATCCTCTCTCTACGTTCGTTTCAAGCTGGAACACACTATTCTTTATCCACTAGACATATACATTACGTTCACCTCCAGCCATGAATATTACTTCCACCTCTAGGCATGTACATTCCTTTCGCCTCCAGGCATGTACATTACTTTCACTTCCAGGCATGTACGTTCCTTTCACCTCAATGCCTATACATTACTTTCACCTCCAGGCAGGTACATTATTTTCACCTCCAGGCAGGTAAACATTCTCTGTAACGCAAGTCTCACATATATCTATTCTTATTCACTTCATTTCTTGTATTTCAACATTCTTTCTACACGTGTACATTGCATACCAGCGTTAATGATTACCTTGCTCTGACCTTGTAGATGTACAAGAAATAATCCCATTACTTCTCATCTCTGATACTCTTCCCTCCCCTCTACTTTTAACTTTATTTACCAGTGCCTGTTCTACGTCCACGCTCATTCCAACTGCTCAGAAACTAAATAAAGAACTAACTTCCTAACAAAAACACACGCTCAGACAGACAGACAGACACAAAAACACACGCACACACACACACACACACACACACACACACACACACACACACACACACATAACGCCGAGAAGTACAAATGTTAGCCGCCGAATCCTAGGGAAAAAAGGACCGCGCTTCTTTTGTAAAGGAAGCAGAAAGTATTATGTGAGTGATGTCCAAACAAACAGAAGGAAATTATTTATATATGGAACATTTTCTGAAATTAGATTAACGTATTAAATATATTAGGGAGAAATGGAGTAGCACAGCAGTTCATTGATGCATTTGTTGACAATATGGCAAGAAACCCAGTGGATAGATGGATAAGATATCTAACTAAAATAGATGGATGGATGATCGAATTTAATACAGATAAATGCCATATAATGAATCAACTAAAACTGAGCAAAACCAGGTAAGGCAAAATGGGTTAATATAAAAATTATTTAAGGAAATGCAATATTAAAAAATGAAATATAAATTTTAAAAACTTCGTTGAAGCAAATGCAGAAGACAATAATGAGTCAGCTGAGTTAATGAAGTGTTGAAAAAATGATAAATTAGGTAATGGATAAAAATAAGGATCATATTGAGAAGGAAATTTAAGGCTTAGTATAATACAAGACTAATTTGAAGTGATGCAGGAATAATTAATCAAAAGACGGAATTAGAACAGCTGGTGCATTTAGCACAGGATACATCTAAGAGTGTCAACAACAGCATGGACTGGAACTATTTACAAGAGGATCTGCACACACTGAGCACATGGAGTGATGGATGATGGAAATAATGCAGGTAAACGCCATGTAATGAAAACGGGAGACAGTGAAATCAGGCCATAAGAGGAACATAGACTGTGTCAAGATATTAAAGTATCAGATAGAGAATAGGATGCATGAATTATTAAAAAATTGCCATCGGAAGATCGTATAAATGAAACTGTGTGAACCTCGTATGCTAAACTGGCAAACTATAAATGCGCTTTTAAATATATGGATGGTGAATTGTGAAGAAAGTTGTCTATAACCTAAATTATACCAAAATTGGCATATGTAGTGGTTGTGTGGTGTCCACACCTGAAAAAAAAAATTAGATAAGTTAGAATATGTCCAAAGAAGAGCTGAAAAATGGTGGCCGGGAATGAGTTATATGAACAATAATGAAATGCTGAAAATATTCAAGTTTCCCATGTTGGCTGATAATTGGAAAAGAGGAGATATGATAATCACATATAAGGTTATGAAAGAACTTGTATGAGTAGATAAATGAGATTCCTTAATACCTACAACAAGGATAACAAGAAGTATCAATTGTAAATTGAGGAAAAGGTGGAGTGGGAAGGACAGTAGAAAACTGTTTTTCTCAAATAAGGTTAACTTGTGGGATGCATTATTAGAGAAATTATTAAGTGCTGCAGCTACTGGAAATTTTTAAATATTATGTGATGACCAGAGTACAGAAGATGGAACTCCACAAGAATATCTGAATCAGAAGCTTCAAATAGGTAATTATATGCAAACAAGGAAACACAGGCACAGGCACACACAGACCACACAGACACACACACACACACACACACACACACACACACACACACACACACACACACACACACACACACACACACACACACACACACACACACACACACGCACACCCACACATACACACGCACACACACACACACACACACATACACCACACACACACACACACACACACATACACAAACACACACACACACACACACACACACACACACACACACACACACACACACACGCACACATACACACTCAAGGAGAAAGACCTAGGAGTGAGGAGTATAATACCGAGTACATCGCCAGAAGCACACATTAACCAGATAACTGCTGCGGCATATGGGCGCCTGGCAAACCTGAGAATAGCATTCCTGTACCTCAGTAAGGAATCGTTCAAGACTTTATACACTGTGTACATCAGGCCCATACTGGAGTATGCAGCACCAGTTTGGAACCCACACCTGGTCAAACACGTCAAGAAATTAGAGAAAGTGCAAAGGTTTGCAACAAGGCTGGTTCCAGAGCTAAGGGGAATGTTCTATGAAGAAAGGTTAAGGGAAATCGGTCTGATGGCACTGACGACACAAGAGGGTCAGGGGAGACATGATAACGACATACAAAATACTGCGTGGAATAGACAAGGAGGACAGAGACAGGATGTTCCAGAGATGGGACACAGAAACAAGGGGTCAAAATTGGAAGCTGAACACTCAGATGAGTCAAAGAGATGTTAGGAAGTATTTTTTCAGTCATAGAGTTATTAGGAAGTGGAATAGTCTGGCAAGCGATGTAGTGAAGGCAGGAACTATATATAGTTTTAAGACGAGGTATGATAAAGCTCATGGAAC